TATTGTATTACACAGATGACCTGGTACAAGTTCTTGCAGGCCCTGTGCATGCTGTCATAGTCTCTGTGAATTCATATAAACTTTGATCATGTGATTTGGGCCCAGGATAAGGAGAAAACCCAAAGTTTTCCATCAGTGTGAGTTGTGGACTTTGTGCACCATAGGGATTGCAGGCAGCAGTGTGTGGGCTGGCGTGTAACACTCAGGCAGCATGTGAATTGTGATCCAATGAGCACTGAGAAACAGCCTGCTGCATCTGAGGGCTGGCTAGAGCCACAGACAGGAGAGTCAGTGCCCAATGTGCCACATGGCTGGCAGATCCATCCCAAAAAGTCTGGACTGGTCCCTATGTTTGGGTGCCAGATGATGACAGAAGATACAAAGTAATACCACACTAATTCAGAATTACCTATAATAAGGGGTTATTTATTTAGGTCAGACTCATAGATCACTGTCCTAGATCACAGTCTTCTGCTCAAATAGGGATCAGAAAGAGCTGGAAGCAAGAGAGCGAGTGCACGTTTTACAGTTGCATTTATAGTATAGGAGACTACACCCAAGTGGGCTGGTATCTTAAAGCCTACTGGCTGAAGGAGTTGAAGAATCTCCCACAGCAATTTGGTCTTGTTTTATAAAAATTTTAAATTGTGTCGTTAAGTCAATTATTTGCTCTCTTTCTGTTTTTTTCATTATATTTTCTTTTTTTATTGAAAATAGATTCTATTCTCATACAATACTTTCTGATTATGATTTACCTGCTCTCTAAACCTCTCAGTTTTTCTCCAGCTTCCCTCATGTCTGAATCTACTCATTTTCTGTCTCTCATTAGAAAATGGTATGGGACAATTGTCTATATTCTGTCAATAATGTTTTAAATAAATGCTGATTGGCCAGTAGCCAGGCAAGAAGTATAGGCGGGACAAGCAGGCAGGAAGTAGAGGTGAGTCAATGAGAACAGGAGAATTCTGGGAAGAAGGAAGCCCATTCCTTCCCAGTCCTGTCCCAGTCACAAAAGAAAGAAGATGTGATTGCCCCACTGAAAAAGGGACCGAGCCATGTGACCAACATAGATAAGAATAATGGGTTAATATAAGTTATAAGAGTTAATAAGAAGCCTGAACTAATGGACCAATCAGTTTATCATTAATATAGACCTCTGTGTGATTTCTTTGGGGCTAAATGGCTGTGGGACCTGGTGGGAGGAAAGAAAACAGGCAGGACAGAAACTTTAGACAAGAAAAGTGTAGGTACCCAGGTCTTTTTCCCTTTTCTTCCTTGGCATTTTGCAGGGCTGTTTGACCTCTGGCCCCTGGAGATTCTGCACAGCACTGGCTTGAGGGTAGCTTAGAAAGAATTTGGCTGTCTTTGTTATGGTAATTCCACCTGTAAACAAGGCTGCAGCTGTGGGCCCTACATGCCTCCCATGCCTACCTCCCACGTAGCTGATTCTGCCTGAGGCACTGGGAATGTATCAATCTATTCTACTGCTCCTGATGGGAGGGGGCCTTGCCTCCTGGTATAAATACCCGACTTGAGTTTAATAAAGCGGCTTTTTTACTCTCTGGCAAGCGAGCAGGTCTCTTGTGTCTTTGTCTACTTAAACCCTTAGGACAGTCGTCCATTCTCGTGGCCCTGGTTCAGGAAAGCGCGCTCCTGGATTAGGCCTGGGTATCCACAGAAAAGTGCAGAAGCTAACAGAAAAGAACAAGGTTTTAAGAAAAAAATAATAAAATACAATAAAATAAAATATAATAAGATAAAATAAAAGCTATCACACCATTGGTGGACATGACAAACAGAGAGAAGTAAAAAACCCAGGATAAGGCCCAGGGATTGGAGAGTCACTCATTCATGTGCATAGGAATCCCATAAAAATACTAAACTGGAAGCCATACTATATGCTCGGAGAACCTGGTATAGTTCCCTGTATACCCAGTGCAAGTTCCCTCAGTCTCTGTGAGTTTATACAAGCTTTGCTTTAGAGGGCCTTGCTCTCTTGATGTCCTCCATCTCCTCTTGCTCGTATACTCTTTCTGACCTTTTCTTCTGGAGGGATCCTTGAGCCCCAATGAGAAGGATTTGATAGAGATAGCGCATTGACTGCATAGTGTTCCAAAGTATTTCACTTTCTGCATACTGTCTGGCTATGTATGGTTCTCTGTATTTGTTCTATGTGTCACAGGAGGAAGCTCCTCTCCTGATGGCTGAGCAATATACTGATCTTTGAGTATAGAAGAATGTCATATGTCATTAGAAGTCATTTTATCACTAAATATCTCTTTAGATCAGTAGTATTTGATAGCTATTTGGGCCATCTAATCTCTGGTTCTTGGTTACCCAAGCAATGTTGGGTATGGGTTCAATCTTGTGGCATAAGCCCTAAGTCAAATCAGTTATTGTTTATTATTCTCACGTTTTATTTCACTATTGCCCTACTGTATCTTACAGGCAAGATAACATTGTAGATCAAAGGATTTGTGGTTGTCTCGGTGTTTACATTTATCTTTTGGTAGCCTACAAAATACTTCCTTGCACCAAAGATGCTAGTACATAGAGGTGAAAGCTCCATATAGGTACCAGTTTGATATCTCTGTGTTCAATGAGTTGCTTAGGTGTTGCCTTCAGTGATGTGGCCTTGTTGTCAGTTTTTGGAAAGCAACCTATGGTTTTGACAACAGCCCAGGTTGTTTATAAATTCCCATTGGACCCTTTTTTGTGGTAAATGTCTAGTTGGGGCTTCGTCTCCTCCATTATTTGGCGATTTTCTGTAGATTGCCTTCATATATGTATACATTTCAACATTTTTTCCCTTTTTGTTCTTATCTATTTGGCTTCCTGTGTACTTCTTGGTTCTGTATGGGTGTCTTTCTTTTATGATCTTGTTCAGGATTTGGTCTTTTGCCCTGAAGTTTTTCACTTTATCTCTTCTGATAACGTGTAGGGCCCGGGTCTACCCTTGCTCCTGGGGTGCATCTTGAGGACATTTTTTTGGTCAGCCAGCTAAACATCCTGTTTGTTCCTGTGCTCCCTCTGCCTCACCTGGTGATTAGCTGTAGGACATTGTTTCATCTTTGGTATGGTAATTTCCCACCTGCCTGGTTGGAAATCCTTGTGCAGCAGCCAGGTATAATAGGATTTCCCCTAAATTGAATAAACAGCATTCGGCTGATCTCCTTTCGAACGACCCAGGTCTCTTGTGTGTTCTTTCAATCTCCAGGTCCTTGCCCAACTCATGTATGGTACAGTGGCACACGAATTGTACCGAGGGGGTAACACAGAATCGGGTGTTACAATAATGCATAGGTTCATTCTTTTCATGGCATCTTGCGTTAATGTATGTTGCTTTTCTGTGGGTTTTAAATTTTTTTGTAGTCTTCATTTATTTTGTTAGATTCTCATCTTTATCTTCAAGTCCTGGTATCCAATCCTCTGCTTGCTCCATTCTATTTGTAAAGCTCTCCTTTGAGTTTTCAAGCTAGGCTATCGAATTTTTTCCAGTTCCATCTTAATTTCAGCAAGAATATCCTGTAATGCTTCTCTTCACTGAATTTGATTTTCAAATCCTAGATTGTGTTCACCACTTCTATCAGCCTATGTTTTCTTGGGCATCAGTTAGAATTTTATTCTTTCTAAGTTCATTCTTCTAACTTCATTGAACTGTTTCATTGTGTTTTCTTTAAACTCCTTAAATTCTTATTCTCACTGGCAAACTTTTATGTAGAATGTGTGGATTTAAGAATGGCAATACTGGTTTGATCTTTTATAACTCTTGTATTTTTGCAATGAGGTTTGAGCACATAAACTTCTTTTGTTTAGTCTTGTCTGATAGGGACAGGAATATTCAGGGAGAAATGAGGATGTGTGGATAAAGTCGAGTCCATAGGTTGAAAATAACTTGTGTGCAACGAATTCAGGGAGGCATAAGGGATTGGGATGGTGTATGCATCCTGGTTCAAGTCTGAAGTTTAGGGGTACATTTGGGGGCTGAGGATGGCGTATCAAGGGGGAAATTAGGTGGATTCACCCAGATAGACCCTGGAAAAGTAAGTGCTTTCTGGGTCTGGCTGGGTGGAGAGATTCAATTCAGCAAAAGAGGGGCCAGAATCTTTGCTTCTGGGTAGGCAGAGTTGAAGCTTAGAGGTTGATTGTGGCTTAGTTAGGGTTGGCCACACTAGGCTAGGGTATTAAGTGTGGGACTGGGCTAGACCTGGGGGTTTGGGAGAGTGTGAGAAGAAGAGAATCAAGTAGACTCATCTGACTAGACTGTGAAGAAAAATGTGCTTAAAATTTGTTTAATAATACATTTTGACGTAGGCTCTATGTTATCTGAATTGAAAATGCTTAGGCATTTCTCTGTGTGCATCTCTGTATAAGACATTCTCTATACAAAAGAAAGAGGGCATAGGATGCTTATTTTCCTATCATGTGCTTAATAGTCAAGACCTAAACAATGCAGTGATAAACATACTTAGGATAAAAACCATCTAAGCCATCTGAAAAGCCACTTGAATTTTTAGGTACATAGTTTTGGTATTAGTATTGAATGAAAATTTGTTTTCCATTCTCTCATGGTTTACAGAATATATTCTGAATTCATTTGACAAGGTATCTGAAGGTTTGTCTTTACTTATTTATGAATCCTGAGTTCAGCCTGAACATTTGGCAGAAATACCATTAAGAAATAGCTCTTTGAGTAGAAACTATACATTGGCATTATTAGTAGAGACCCAGGCATAACAAGTGTTATGGAAACAACCGAAGTAAGTAAGTAGACAGTGATAGATAGAAGAACTTGTAATAGAAAGGATGCTTCTGTGTTGGTTGTTGACCCACTGTGGAAGTAAAGAAAATACTGGCCTTTACCTTAGTCAACCTACTAGAGTGTCAGCGTGTCAGGGGTAGAGTCACTCAGATATTTGTGTGAGCTCCTCTGGTATCCTGCATGTTATTAATAAGTTTTCTTCACTTGTTTTTATATAGCAGACCTGAGAAAACTCTATTATGGATTAAACTTTGCCCTCCCAAATCTGCATGTTGAAGTTGAACTCAAAATATCAAAATGTGCTCTTTCCAGTAGGGATATTGTACCTGTAACTAGATCAGGTAAGATCATTCGGTTGGTATCTAATATAACTAGTTTTATTTTTGTAAAAAGAATGGTGTATACATAATCAAAGGCAAAGACACATACATAAGGAAGACCATGAGAAGACAAAGAAAACATCCATCTGTAAGCTGAAGAGAGAACCAGAGAAACAATCTCCACCAATACCACAATATAGGACTTCTAGTCTATGTTCTACGAAGAAATACATATATTCTGAAGCCACCCATTCTGTGGTACTTTGCTATGAGAAACTAAAACAGACTCTGGACAAGTTAGAGGTATTTTCATTTATATTCTACATCTTTATTTTGTCTCCTCTTTGTACCCAGCCTTTGAACATCCTTAAAATAAATACCAGTAACATAAAATAAATGGCAGTGACATATCTTCTTCCCCTATTTGAAATATGTTGACCATATACTAAGTAATGTGAAATTTGCAAATATTCCAAGCAGGAACAAAGGAAAACGTAGTGCTGGTTCTGCATCATTTGTTTTTGCTGATCTTTGGCTTTTTTTGTCTTGATTGCGTCTAACATAAGTTATACATTTATTATGCACTAATATTAATAATAACATACATAATATTACATATAATGCATAATATTAATAATAACACTATAATATGTTATAGTTATTAGTTATCAAGTATGTTTTTTTAAAATATGAGATATAATTAGATACAGGGCTATAATAGTTGGATTTTAATTAGTGTTACATGAAAATAATTATCTTTTGGATTTGGTAAGTGTTCTAGTGGGATAGAATAAAAAGGTTAGGAAGGTGTTTCTGTAGATTTTCTTCTGTAATGTGATCTTGTTTCACTATGTGTTGATTTTATGACTCTCTGGAAAGTTTCTGAACTCTTGAGAATTATCAGTTTACTCATATGCAAAATAGAGTCAGTAATAATCAATCATTACTTAAATCTAATGCAGTCATGATTATTCCATGAAGGTGAAGCTTTTTTTCAATCTTATATTAGTATGAATACTCTTTTCATACTCCTGTGCATATTGCCTAGCATATGGAGAAATGAAAATAGTGGATGGTTATGCCTAGTGATATTGTATGCCTCTGTCAACCTCTTTCCCATGCTACATGATATAATGTCAACAACTGCTCCTGGAGGATGGGCTTGTATATTCTTCATTATGATTGTCCTGGCCAGTGGCATATGGGGAAATGATACTCCATGACTTCTAAGACTTTGCAATAAAAAGCTCAGCTCCACCTTCTCACTTTCTCATCTTTTAAAGCCATATCCCAAGTTGCAAGAAGCTGGGGCTCTTTGGTACCTGTATGCATATCACCCAGGTCACTGCCCCAGCAAAGCTCTTAGCCTCAACCTAAGACTCAGAAGTGTAAGAACCTTTGGGTGATTCAAGGATATTGGTAGATTTTGTTAATGCCACCAAGTCTTGCAGTTGAGGCTACAGACACCATAGAGGTGAGCTGGCCTCACCAGCCTTGGTCAAATCATTTACTCACAGAAACTTTGAAAGACTGCTTTGTAAAACATCAGGTTTAGTAATATTTTATTATGTGTCTGCACGGAAACACTGCATTGGTAAAAATAGATTAGTAATGTTTTATTATGTGTTTGCACAGAAACAGTGCATTGGTAAAAATAGAGATAAACTTGGTATCAGCCCTGAATTAACAAGTGGCATTCCAAGTCTAAAGTAAAGAAGTTTCAGGAGGGCTTTGACCTCTTTGTCTTTTTTGGAAGGAAAGGAGGATGAACGAGCACCACATGTTTGAATAAGACGGGAAGAGAAAAGTCCTTGTTTTCATGAAGTGACGCCATCGTTTGTGTAAATGAGTGACAACCTTTTTTACCATCTCATATCTCGTAAGCCATACTTGCCACAGGATGAACCATATGCTTATATGAGCACTGTGAACTGCTACAGGAATATCAAAGTGTATAAGCATTTACCAGCACTGAAAACACGTCACTAAGAGATTAGAACCAGGAAATCTGACAAGTATTTCAGATTCTACCTGAATGATCAATTTATAAATGGAAGGCCCATGTGTATGTACGAATTTAATATTTCTAGCGCACACTGTCCCACTCCCTTGCCTGACCTACTTCATGCCAAACATCCCTGGTTATGAAAATGAGAGGCCTGATTAGCATCAGTAGTGGTCACTGAGCTACTAAAAACACATGTAGCGGTTTCAAGGGTAGGAATTGGGGACGTAGCTAATAATACTGAAATACTGACAGGGGAATCCAGTTCTGAGTAACGAGGATGTGGTTTCTGAAGTCATCTGGTCCGCTTACCAGAGCTGAGGTGACTTTTCTACATGGAAAAAAATACCATGAAAAGTCTCTGGTGGTTCTCTTAATCCAGTGCAATTTAAAAGTCTATGATAGCATTGGTAATTGCTCTTGTATTTCAGGCAACTTCCTGGGGATATAATCTGCAAATTTTCTTTTCCTTCTAGACTAAAGAGGGAATGTTCATTTTACTTTTGGTGTCTGCATTATTAAGTTGTATTTTTTTTTTCATTTCTTACATGCAGAAAGATGTTCTTTCACCCTGGCTTTGAAGTTTTTAAAATGTTCTTATTCAAGGTCTCCAGACTTGGGAACTCTCGACTCTCATTCTTGTATGAACAAACAGTTGGAAACTCGATGGAAATTAGCTAATGTCTTTCTTGCTACCTTCCTCATATCTATTCAGTCAACAAATCTTCAACTAAAAGTGATCAAGCTGGAGACTATTTCAAACTCCACATTGCTTTCCTTCTATAAGGAAACACAAGGGCCAGACACACTTTTATTGTCAAAGCAGAGAGAGGTTAATCAGCCTCTCTTGTGGAGAGAATGCTGAAGGAGATGCTGTCTCCAATCTGGGTCTTAGGATGAATGTGCTTCCGTTTGTTTAACTTGCTCCAAGATGGATTTCTGCTGATGCAGAATTGAAATTCCACCCCTCATGAAGTTTAGGAGCTCGAGTTTAAACAAAGTCTTAACTATAATGGAAACCTGGTAATCTATTTGCGTAAACCAAACCAAACTGCCCCAAACCTTGCCTTGGTCACATCAAATGATGAAGGAACAGGTAGTCTAGAAAGGACATCCTAAAAGATTACTGACAGACCCTAAGCCATTTCAACTGTCTGCAAATGTTTCTGATGGATTTTGGATACTGACCTTGAAACCTGCTTTAAGTAATTTGTGTGCTTGTCTCTCACAGGTTCCCTAATGAGTATGACTATCACTAACATTAAAAGTGGTGAATGTTGGCAGCTTTATATTAAGGCCACAGGAAGAATCCTTTACTATTGAATGAGTCGCCTTGGCCAAGGAGAAAGTGTGGCATTGTGCCGTGACTTACTATTTCCTGGCAATTTTTGTGTAAACAGGTTGAATTGATGTCTTAGAATAGTTGAGAAAAAAATATGTCATTGGCAATTGTCCTAGAATTACAAACAGTTCAAAAAAATGATGAAGTCACCTATTCAACTAACATAATCCTCAGGTACAAGAAAGAAAATAGGACATTTTTTTCTGTCTCACACTTTTCCTGGATCTGCTGCAGAGAAACAGAATCTCAGCAGGTTCTAAAAACAACTAGATTTGTGCTTATTCTTGCTTATTCCTCGTGGACTTCATCTCATTACAGACAGGGGCATTTGTCACTTTGTAATGTTCTTTCCACTCATACTCTGTGTGGTTCAGATTAATTAAAGGAAACTTGAAGATATTTTAAGAGCTCAGGTTTGGCTATTTCAGTGTTATATAAAAATGGGCTATTTAGCATACAAAACAGATGCAGAGAGAGAAGGAGAGGGAAGGAGAGAGAGAGAGGGAGGGGAGGGAGAGAGGGAGGGAGGGAGGTGGAAGAGAATGTGTGTATCTTGTAAGAATTCTATGTACTCTATTCTGAAGGAAACTTGGCAGAAGCAATTTTCTTCGAGAATAAATCTGTGTATATTATGTTTGGTCAGTTATATTGCTTCTGACAGACCTAATCAGGGCAAGTTCCTATTTGTTCATCCAAACAAAATATTTACTATTTCAATCTAGTTCCAATGCGTCAATATTTTATTCATCATAAGATTATATATATATCCTCCTTTTTTTTGGTCCACAGAATAAATTAATTAACTACTGGTGCGTGCATGTGTGTGTGTGTGTATATGTGCATATGTGTGGACATGTATTAGGTAAAAGATCTTGTATGGATTAAGATGCTATGCACTATTAAATAATAAGTTAACTATTATAAATGGAAATTATAAGAACATGGATCTAATTTATATTTCATGTATGCAATGTAGCAAATGAATTTGCTATGTAAAGATTTGACAAAAGCATGTCTAAAAGATGATTAAAAGGATAGGGCTTGACATACAGATTAGCCAAAGAGTTCTGGCTTCGCATCCTCAAGTCCCGGAGTTCACTCTCCAGTACTACAAACACACTAAATACACACACACGCTCACATATTCCCATACACAAACACCACCAACACCACCACAAGCAAGGGCTGAATGTCATTGTCCACCCTGTAACTCAGAACCCAAGGGGCTAAGGTGAGAGGATTGAGAATTTATTGTCAGTTTGGTTTATATTGTGAAATGGCAAAAGTACTGACTTCATAGCTCAAGATTATTAAAAAGTTACAATTGTTTTAATGGAATATTTAAAAATTATCGATATAAATCTGACATATATTTAATAATAATATTTTTCTTTTAACAAAGGTAAAGTCTATGCAGAAGTAACTGTTTCACCAAAAATTTGAATGAGAAGATTCTGTGTCATTTGTGGCACTTAAAATCTGCCCTTTGGATCTACAGTTTCACTTTTCATAATCATTCGTAATCATATATAGATTTTTAATAAAACAGAATCCCCAAATATTTCAGTTGTTTGGCAACAGTCGCACTAGATTTAACCCAGTTGAAAAGACAAGAGCTGTCAATTTTCTTTATAAATTATAGACAAACAGTTGGATAATTGGATATTTTTGGTT